AATTTTAAGGGAGTTCTGAGAATAGCAATAAACATGATGAAGGTACTGGAAGGACTGATATTCAAAGATATATTAGAAAAACTGAAATGCTGGTCACTCCCTCCCTTCCACCACTCATACCTCCTAGCAACTCAGAATAGAAAGCTGGTAATTATTTCTATGTAGTTGTTGTAAATCTCAAATGAAACTCACTTAAACTGCACAGCAATTTAGAATTATTGCTCACTATGCCACAGTAGACAGGCATAACCTCTGCTAGGCTAAGCAGATAGAGCTGATGTCAAAGCACCGTTGGTGCTCTTAGGCAATGATGGAGCCCAATGGCTCTGTAGCACCACAGAACAAGACGGCTGTTTTATTCAGGAGAAACTTTGAAATTTAGGGTAATGAACTGTCCTGAGAACTATTCAGAAGAAATGGCCACTACAAGCCATATCTTTTGTCTAGATAGATAGATAACTAAGCTCAAAATTAGACCTTAGAAGGAGAGCCTGAGGGTAGCCTAAATTTGCTCATATGGTTATCAGTTGATTTCCTTTGTGAGTTAATACAGCTGCAAGCTAGTTAAACAACACTATTGAGATTTTCTGTTTATTCCTGCAGTTTTGAGGGCAGATGTGTCCTACTCTTGTTCTCACTCAGTGGCTCTCTATACTGTTCTGTAGCCAGAGCAAACACAGTAATTGACAGTCGTTGCAGTTTCCTGCTTATTTGTAAACAAGGGTGTGTAAACTCAGAGTATTTTCTATTAATTTATAGCAAACACAATTTTAATTATATAGTGATTTTCCTAAAATTTTTAAATTTTTTCTATTCAGACAAAATCAGGGGGAAAAATATCACAAGATTTATTTAACCTGTGTCAGCTCAAAGTGTCATCTTTTTTTAGAAGAAAAGGAAAGCTCTCACTAACAACTTCTTTTAGACTAAGACTTTGAAGAATATGAAAGAGAGAAAGATAACAGAAGTTTGTGTATTAGTTTGAGTATGTACATGAGCTTTGAGGAGTTGAGAGATGTATTACATTTCCTAATATGATCCTGATACTTTATGTAACTGTAGAGATTGTCCAAGGCTTTGGGACACTTTGCAATATCCAAGTAAAGCTTCTGTGTTCACCCTTTTGTCTATAAAACTGGATCTTTTAGCTTGGAAAAAAAATCAAAATAGAAAATGTACATCAGAAACTACTGTCTTTCTAGTAAGTCATTACAGAGAAGTTTGGAATTACACTGCCCATTACTCAGTCTTACATCTCAAATTATCCTGGTGCTGTACAACAAGATACAAAACGAAACTTGAGTCCTCGTTAATTTACTTGAAATGTTGCTATTGCCTTCTACTTGATTTCCCAGTTTTGACATTAAAAGATAAAAATGAAAATATTAATCTAAGTTTACTAAAGCCTTCTTCAAATACAGAAATACCATGGCATTTTAGCTAAATGAAAGTAGAATATTAATGAACTTCAGAAGAATATTTTGTCTCTTCCTTAAAAGAGGGCAAATGGCACTTGAGGTGTGTTGGGTAAAAATGTGGCAGTGAGACAATCATAAAGTATTTAACTTTTCATTTTTCCAGGGTATGCTTAGACAAGAAAGCCAAGTAGATTTAACATACTCATAAGTGACTTTCAACTATTACAAACTTTTCTTTGGACTCTGGTTTAATTCCAAGAAGGGTTTATTTATCTTACACCTGTTCCTGGCAAGTTAAACTACACTGAAATAATGTGCCTGTCTTTCCTGCCTCGGAAGGAAACACAGCCAAGGAGCTCTGCCTTAAGCAACGGACACACTCTTT